AACAACTAGAGAAAAAATGACTTTCAAAGGAGAGTGACAGCATTTGTCATCAATAGCACTATAATTCAGGAGACAGTGGTAATTGTTTTCAATATGCTAGAGGAAAAGCTGTCAAGCAAGATGTCTATACCCAGCAAAGACAAGTTCTTTGGGTTCTTTGTTTTCAAGAACAAAGATGAAATAAAAACATATTCAGAGAAGTAAAGTTGAGTAAGTTTACCACCAAGCCTTCAGTAAAGAAATGTCAAGTTCAGAGCAAAGGAACGTGCTTTCAAATGGAAGGGCTGAGATTCTAGAAGGAATGAAGGGCAAAGAAAGTGGTAAATATGTGTGTAAAACTAAATCTATTGTTTTGTGCGGTTAACAAAAATGGAATTAAAATAGAAGGCAATAATAGCATATAAATTATGAGAGAATATTCTTAATTTCTTGGTTTTCAGAGAAGAACTATGATATAGTAACTTTTAAAAAACACAACAACAATGCAACGCACTGCTGTTGAGTCAGATCAGATTCATAGCAACCCCTCCCTGGGTTTCTGAGGCAGTATCACTACAAAAATAGATTGCCCAACTTTCCTTCTGAGGAGTGGCAGGTGAGTTTGAACCGCCAGCCTTCTGATTAGCAGTCACATGCCTTAGGCACTACACTACCAGAGCACCCATAGTAACTTTAGTCTTTAATAAAGGTGACACAGTGGTTAAGGCATTTGACTGCTACCAAAAGGTCAGCAGTTCTAACCCACCAGCTGCTCCATGGGGGAAAGATGAGGCAGTCTACTTCCATAAAGATTTAGAGCCTTAGAGATCCTATAGGGCAGTTCTACTCTGGTTGCTATGAGTCAAGAACAGCTAGATGGCAGTGGGTATGCATATTAAAATTTCCTAGGTAACTACTTGTTAGGTGCTGTCGACTCACCTCCAACTCATAGTGAGCTATATACACAACAGAACAAAACACTGCCTGGTCCTGCACCAGTCTCACAATCCTTGCTATTCCTGAGCCCATCATTGCAGCCACTGTGTCAATCCATCTTGTCAAGCGTCTTCTCCTTTTTCACTGACTCTTCACTTTACCAGGCATAATATCCTTCCCCAGGGAATGGTCCCTTCTGACAGCATGACCAAAGTAGGTGAGATGAATTCCAGCCATTCTCACTTCCAAGGAGCATTCCAGCTGCACTTCTTCCAGGATGGATTTGTTTGTTCTTCTGGCAGTCCATGGTAATTTCACTATTCTTTGCAAACACTACAACTCAAAAGCATCAGCTTTTCTTCGGTCTTCCTTATTCATCGTCCAGCTTTCACCTGCATATGAGGTGATTGAAAATGCCATGGCTTTGGTTAAAAAAAACTCACTGCCGTCGAGTTGGTCCTGACTCATAGTGACCCCTCCTTGATTTTCCGAGGCAGTATTGGTACGGAAGTAGATTGTCCAGTCTTCCTTCTGAGGAGTGCTTGGTGGGTTTGAACCACCAGCCTTCTGGTTAGCAGTCAAATACCTTAGGCATTTTGCCACCAGAGGCACACTTTATACTCCAAAGAGACATCTTTGCTCTTCAGCACTTTACGAGGTCTTTTGCAGCATATTTGCCCAGGGCAGTACGTCCTCTGATTTCTTGACTGCTACTTCCATGGGTATGGATTATGGAAGCAACTAATAAGAAATTTTTGACAACTTTAGTCTTTTCTCCTTTTGTCATGATGCTGCTTATTGGTCCAGTTGTGAGGATTTTTGTTTTCTATATGTTGAGGTATAATCCATACTGCAGACTGTAGGCTTTAATCTTCATCAGTAAGTGCTTCAAGTCATCTTTACTTTGAGCAAGCAAGGTTGTGTTGTCTGTGTATCACAGGTTGTTAATGAGTCTTCCTCCAATCCTGATGCTGCACTCTTCTTCATGTACTCCAGCTTCTTGGATGATTTGCTCAGCATACAGATCGAATAAGTAAATGGTGAAAGGATACAGCCCTGACACACTCCCTCCTGATTTTAAACCATGTGGTGTCATTCTGTTTGAATGACAGCCTCCTGGTCTATGTACAGGTTCCTCATGAGCACAATTAAATGTTCTGCAATTCCAATTTTTCTCAATGTTATCCACAATGTGTTATGATCCACATAATTGAATGCTTTTGCATAGCCAAGAAAACACAAGTAAACATCTTTCTGGTATTTATTGCTTTCAGCCAAGATCCATCTGACATAAACAATGATATCCCTCATTCCACGTCCTCTTCTGAATCCAGCTTGCATTTCTGGAAGTTCGCTGTCAATATACTGCTGCAACCACTTTTGAATTATCTTCACTAAGATTTTACTTGTGTATGATATTAATGATATTGTTCGATAATTTCCATATTCTGTGGGGTCACCTTTCTTTGGAATGGGTACAGATATGGATCTCTTTCAGTCAGCTGGCCAGGTAGCTGTCCTCCAAATCTCTTGGCATAGCCGAGTAGGTGCCTACAGCAGGGCATCTGTTTGTTGAAACATCTCAGTGGGTATTTTGTCAGTTCCTGGAGCCTTGTTCTTCGCCAGTTCCTTCACTGCAGCTTTGACTTCTTCCTTCAGTACCATTGGTTCTTGATCATATGCCAACTCCTGAAATGGATGAACATCAACCAGTTCTTTTTGGTACAGTGACTCTGTGTATTCCTCCCATCTCCTTTGATGCTTCCTGCATCATTCGATATTTTGTCCATAGAATCTGTCAGTATTGCAACCTGAGCCTTAAATTTTTTTCCTCAATTCTTTCAGCTCGAGAAATACTGAGCATGTTCTTCCCTTTTGGTTTTCTAACACCAGGTCTTTGCACATTTCATTATAGTAATTGGCTTTGTCTTTTGGAGCTGCTCTTTGAAATCTTCTGTTCAGCTCTTTTATCATTTCTTCCATTTGCTCTAGCTACTCTCTGCTCAAGAGCAAGTTTCACAGTTTCTTCTGACATCCATTTTGGTCTTTTCTTCCTTTCTCATATTTTTAATGACCTCTTGCTTTCTTCATGGATCATGTTCTTGATGTCTTCCCACAGTTCTTCTGGTTTTTGGTCATTGGTGTTCAATGCATCAAATCTATTCTTTACATGGTCTCTAAATTCAGGACAGATATATTTAAGGTCATATTTTGGCTCTTGTGGATTTTTTTTTCATTGTCTTCAGCTTCAAGTTGAACTTGCATATGAGCAGTTGATGGTCTGTTCCATAATCAGCTCCGGGCCTTGTTTTGGTTAAAAATAATGAGCTTTTCCATCACCTCTTGCCACAGATGTAGTCAGTATGATTCCTGTGTACTCCATCTGATGAAGTCCACATGTATAGCCACTGTTTGTGTTGTTTAAAAAAGGTATTTGCAATGATTAAGTCATTGGTCTTTGAAAATTCTGTCATGCAATCTCCAGTGTTATTTCTGTCACCAGGGCCAAATTTTCCAACTGCCGGTGATTCTTCTGTTTCCAACTTTTGCATTCCAGTCATCAGTGATAATTAACATGTCTTGATTCATGTTCGGTCAATTTCAGACTGCAGAAGTTGATAAAAATCTTCAAATTCCTCATCTTTGGCTTTGGTAGTTGGTGCAGAAATTGAAATAATTGTAGTATTAACTGGTCTTCCTTGTAGGCATATAGATATTATCCTATCACTGACAGCATTGTACTTCAGGACAGATTTTGAAACATCATTTGCGATGATGAATGCCACGTCATTCCTCTTGAAATTGTCATTCCCAGCATAGTAGATCATATTGTGATCATATCACAATGTCCAAAAACGGTCTATTTCAGCTCATTAATGCCTAGGATTATCAATCTTTATCCGTTCCATTTCATTTTTTACAACTTCCAATTTTCCTAGACTCATATTTCGTACAGGCTATGTTCTGATTATTAATGGATGTTTGTAGCTGTTTCTCCTCAGATTAAGTCATGCCACATCAGCAAATGAAGGTCCTGAAAGCTTTACTTTATCCATATCATTAAGGTTGGTTCTACTCTGATGAGGCAGCTCTTTCTCAGTCGTATTTTGAGTGCCTTCCAACCTAAGGGGCTCATCTTCCTACACTGTATTGGACCATGTTTCCAGGCTATTCAGAAAATTGCCCAGTAATGTATCAGACATTATTTCTCTGCTATTCATAAGGTTTTCCCTGGCTGATTCTTTGAGAAGTGAATGGCCTCTTCCTTCTTCCTAGTCTGTCTTAGTCTGTAAGCTGCATAGAAACCTGTACACCATGTTCAACCCTGCATTTGAAATACTGGTGGCACACCTTCAAGCCTCACAGCAACATGCAAGCCACCACAGTAGGACAAACTGTCTGACAGACAGGTTCGTCTCCCTTAGCAGTTCGAAACCTCTCTGCCCTCTTCTTACTTGTATCTGGCTGCTTTGTCGACCCTGGCTTTTTCCCTCCTTTCCTGCCTCTTGGGTGGGGGCCTGTCTCCCTCCCCTTACCTGGATCCGGCCACTTTGTCGTCCCCAGTCTTTTTTCAAGTATGAGTGTACAGTGGCCTATATAATCAATCCTTCCCTCTTTTGTGGACACTTAGATTACCTTCAATTTTTTCTTCTTCTAGTAAAGCATATGCTTACATATGCTTATTTGTCCTTTAAAGTGATTATTTTTGTACATTAAATTCCCAGAAAAACTATTGAGTCAAATGGTATGCGCATTTTAAATTTTGATAGATACTTCAAAGGTTCTCTCCAAAGATAATCGGTACCAATCTGTGGGAGGAAGATGTGGCAGTCTACTTCCAGGAAGGTCACAACCTTGGAAACCCTGTTGGGCAGTTGCACTCTGTCCTCTAGGGTCATTATGGGTCAGAATCAACTCATTGGACGAGTGTACCATTTTCTATTGCTCTTACCAACAGTCTTTTAATTATTTGCTACTAACATGGACAAAAAAAATTACTCATTTATTACTTGTATAATTATAAATAAATATTGATAACCACTAAATGCAAGGAAACTCAGGAGCAATGTGTCTTTTGCTTTCAGGTCGGTGCTGACAGTTGCTTGTGAGCAGACAGAAGTCCTGCTTTTTGACCCTATATCTTCAAAGCACATCAAAACTCTTTCTGAAGCTCATGAAGACTGTGTAAATAATATCAGGTGAGTACTAGGATAAAGGGTGAAGTGAACTTCATTAGTGTGGCCCAAGATGATCTGCTCTGGGAGTTAGTGGAAATGGCAATGCCATGTCGGCCAGTGCTAGGGAGTCCACAGCTGTGAGTCTTATCCCTGGTGATACCTACCCTTTTAACTACAAAAGTCACTGTTAACCATTTTGTATTGAAATAGTTTTGAAATACATTTTTCACTTCTATATGATTTTACCTTTTCTCTTTGGATGTCAGGATCATCGTTATGAACCTCAGCCATTTATTATTCTCTCACTGCCGTGGAGTCGGATCTGACTCATGGAGATGCCTCCTTGGGTTTCTGAGGCAGTATCCCTACAGAAGTAGATTGCCCAGTCTTCCTTCCGAGGAGCGGCTGGTAGGTTTGAACCTCCAACCTTCTGGTTGGCAGTCAAGTGCCTTAAGCACTACGCCACCAGTCCTGTCATATATCTGGGCTAATGATTTGTGTAGAATTATGACTGTCGCATTGCTTAGCGTCTCTCACCGCCCCCCACTCCCAAATCTAGACCACTGATGGGAAAAGCACATATGCACAGAGGTTCTTTAGAGAATTGCTGGAAATTCCACAAATTCTCAATAATGTGTAAAGTAAATAATAGGTAAACATTCTGGTGGATTAATAGGAAGTCATTGAAACAATGGTCAAAGAAACTAAATATCAACATAAACAAATGCTTGGAATAATATAGATTTAAATTGTAATGAAAATTGTATAAATAAAAAATTAAGCAGAAGGCAATATTTTAAAATGCTGATAGTGGTTAAGTTAGAATGGATGGATTATGAGTAATTTTCTGCTTTCTAAATTTTATGTAATGTGATTATATAATTTTTGACTCATGTTGTTGTTGTTAGGTGCCATTGAGTTGTCTCTGACTCACAGCAACCCTATGCACAGCCGAATGAAACACTGCCCGGTCCTGTGCCAGCCTCACAATCCTTGCTGTACCTGAGCCCATCGTTGCAGCCACTGTGTCAGTCCATCTCATTGAGGGCCTTCCCCTTTTTCATTGGCCCTCCACTTTACCAAACATGATATCCTACTCCAGGGAATGGTCCCTTCTGACAACATGACCAAAATAGGTGAAATGAAGTCTGGCCATTTTTGCTTCCAAGGGGTGTTCCGGCTGCACTTCCTCCAGGACAGATTTGTTAGTCCTTTTAGCAGTCTATGGTACTCTTAGCATTCTTCTCAAACACCACGACTCAAAAGCATCAACTCTTCTTCAGTCTTCCTTATTCATTGTCCAGCTCTCACATGCGTATGAGGCAACTGAAAATACCATGGCTTGGGTTAGGTGCACCTTAGTCTTTAAGCAGACATCTTTGCTCTTCATCACTTGAAAGAGGTCTTTTGCAGCAGATTTGCCCAATATCTTGTGTGATGTCTTGACTGCTTTTTCCATTAGTGTTGATTATACAACCAAGTCATGTGAAGTCCTTGACAACTTCAGTCTTTTCTCCATTTATCATGAAGCTGTTTATTGGACCAGTTGTGAGGATTTTTGTTTTCTTTATATTGAGGTGTAATCCAGACTGCATAGTGTAGTCTTTAATCTTCATCAATAAGTGCTTCAAGTCATCCTCACTTTCAGCAAGTAAAGTTGTATCATCTGTGTATTGCAGGTTGTTAATGAGTCTTCCTCCAATCCTGATACCATGTTCTTCTTTATATAATCCAGCTTCTCAGATTATTTGCTCAGCATACAAATTGAATAAGTATGGTGAAAGGATACAACCCTGATGCACTCCCTTTTTGATTTTGAACCATGCAATATCCCCTTGTTCTATTCAAACGACAGCTTCCTGGTCTATATATAGGTTCCTCATGAGCACAATTAAGTGTTCTGGAATTCCATTCTTCTCAGTGTTATCCATAATTTGTTATAATCCACACAGTCAGATCCTTTTCATGGTGTTCCTGGTTTCTTTGTTCCATATAATTTTCTGTGCTGAGCTTACTATTTATGAATCATGTTAACATTTCCTTTGTTGCTATTCTTTTAGTATTTGCTAAATATTTATGCTGGTCCTCTTTTTTATTGTGATGTGAAGGTTTATCATTTTTCTTTGAGGTTACCCTGTGATTTATAATTTTCTCTCTGAGTTTAGAACAGTCCATTCTATCTTGCAACTCTCTTGACTTCCTCACCATTTAGAAGTTCTGTAACTACACTGTTTTTCTCCCTCTTTTTGGTTTGTAGTTGTTCTCATTTGCCAATTGATGTCTCTGGTTCCCTGTTTACAATTTTGTAAGCTTATTTTACTTTGGATAGTTCCATAGCTATGTTGGTTTCTGGGTTATGTCATCTTGTATGTTAATGGTCAGTTAATGTTTGCTATTATTGGTTCTCTGTTCAAAGGACTCCATTTAGTATCTCTTGTAAGGTTGGTCTGGTTTTAACAAATTCCCTTAATTTCTGCTTATCTGGAAATCTCCTAATTTCACCATCATATTTGAGGGGCAGTATTGTTAGGTATATAATTCTTGGCTGGAAATGTTTCTCTTTCAGGTTTTTGTATATATCATCCCATTGTCTTCTCGCTTACATGGTTTCTGCTGAGAAATCAGAGCTTATTATTTTTGGTTGTCCTTGTAGGTAACTTTTTGTTTTTCCCATGCTACTTTCAGGATTCTTTCCTTGTCTTTGGTTTTGATGATTTGATGATGATATGTCTTGGTGATTTTATTTTGGGGTCTGTCCTGTTTGGGGTTCAGTGGACTTCCTGAATGGATATATTCTCATCTTTCATCATATCAGAGAAGTTCTCTTCCAACAAATCTTAGACAATTTTCTCAGTGGTTTTCTTTTTCTCTTCCTGTTCTGGAATTCCAGTTACACATAGGTTATTCCTTTTGATGGTATCCCACATGAACCATAGGCTTTCTTCATTTTGTTTTGATCTTTTTTCAGATTGATGCCTTTCTGCCAAAGGGGCAGGGAGGCTGCATCTTCTGATCTCCTCTAAACCCACAAGAAGAAGACAGAATTACCATCAGTAGCCCAAGGCCTATTCCTGCGAGGCCAGACATTCTGCCTCCCTCCAACCCTTTCATTAGCCGTTCCTCCCACCGCACCCACCACCTCTCTGCTAGGTTTGATAATTTGCTGCAGTGGCCACACAGAACTCACAGATTATGGGATTTATTAGGGAAGCACCATACTATAGTTCAAGTTCAGAAATGCACTCAGTCTCTTGCAGACAGCCATCTCACTCAGCAGCCAGTGGCCTCAGTAGTGCGTGTCTCTTGCATCTCTCTTTCAGCAGCATGTGTCCCTCATGTCTCTTAGGAGCGTGTTTCTCTCAGCAGCACATTTTTCTCAGCTAGCAGTCAGAGAGACTCTTCCTTCTCAAGGAGGGCTTCTTTTTTTTTTTTTTTAATTGTGATTTGGGTGAAGATTTACAGAGCAAATTCACTTTCCATACAGCAGTTCACATATATTTTGTTTCATGTCATTGATCACAGTTTACCACAATGCAACAGCTCCCCTCCCACTTCCTCCCCATAGTTAGGAGGCCTTCTTTTGAGCCTGGCAAAGTAGTCCAAACCAACCAATCCCAACATCAGAATTCTATACACTGAGAGAGAGTGATCCTCCCAGAAAATTACTTTGTGGTGTTCCCAACAGAAATACCCCAGGTGGATAACTTTCACAATCAGGAGCTACTCAGTTGCTCATGGCAAATTCCACCACAGAGTTTACAAAGACTTATGGCTAGAAAAACCACACTATGTAATTTACTATACCACACTTTCCAAAGAAGTATTCACGTGTTTGTCTTCAAGAAAATTCAGCCTCAACTTCTTCCTTCAGTACCACTGGTTCTTTTCCCATTTCAATGTGTTATGTATTTCTGAAAATTTAGTATTAATCTTCTGGCTTTCTATCGGTAGATTTTGTATCATTTCTAATTTTTCATTTATTTTGTCATTTTGTTCTTGAATTTTTTTCTGAAATTGTTCTAGGGTTTTGTCTGCATTTTCCTTAATTTTGTCAGTGTTTTCCTTGATCTCTCTCTCAATATTTTTGAAGATACCTAAGTATAATTCTTTTGAATTCCTTATTAGGGAGTTCCATTGCTGCTGCTTTTTCAAGGATGTATTTTGGGTCTGTATCCTGCTCCCTTGTTTCTGCCACTTTACCTTCCTTCTTTTTGTGGATTGTGATAGTCTGTTGTGTCCAAGGCATTGTGACGTTGTTGTATTTAGATCTCTTAACTGTTTGTGAAGAGCAGTTAAGGGTGAGTCAGGCTCTTATTGGTGGTTGTTCATAGTTGGCCAGTTGGTGAACAAGGGAATGGTGGCTCTCAGTAAGTGGAACTGCAGGAGGTGCAGGTGTGGTTGCATCATATAGGCATGGTTGCTGTCTTCCACTCAGTTAGACAAAAACAATGATTGAAAACCACCAAAATTAAAAGCAAGCAGATAAAAAACACACTGCATAAACACACAGGAACAATCACACACACACACACACACACACAAAAACCCCTGCAGTCTCTGGGGAGGGGACAAGAGAAAAGATGTAAAGGAGGAGAATAATGAAGGAAAAAGTAGGAAAAATGCAAAAAGAAAAACAAGAAATGGGGAGAACCACAAGAAAGAAAAAAGTGGGAACCAGGAACAAGGAAGAGAAGAAAAGCTGGAAACTAGAACCTGGGAAGGGAAGAATAAAGAATAATTTAAAAAAGGATGAAAAAAAATATTTTAAAACAGATAAAAATAAGCCAAAAAATAAAAAAGGGAAAAAAAAATCTGGGCAAGGCAGGGCACCCAGACCCTATCAGAGCACACAGACTGGGATGGAATTCCTTCTGGCCCAGAAGGTAGGTGGGAGTGAGGGATGGCCGCACCTCCATTCACTAAGAGAATGTGGGGTATAAGAGTAACAAGAGGAATATCACACCTCTCTGGTCTTTGATGTCTGGAATGTCCTTGCAGTCCCCAGCAAGTGGAGCCTATTC